GTCCCCAAAGTTTCATTGAACATGACTGCTGATCACCCAGCCCAAGAAAATTGCACTCTGGACGGCCCACCCTTCTTGATTGGCAATCAGTTCAAATCTGCCAATATTTGCCAACACATCACCCAATGAAATAACAGGACAGTTCGACTTGGCTTCACAAAGCCCCGTTTCGCAATCCATTTCTTGCCTGCAAGAGGCATGCCAAGATCCTGGCGGAAGGACGATTGTGCGAGCGTGTGGGATCTTTGTTGCTGGGGAATGTTTCTCAGGGTCCACCATGTATGGAATGAACTTCTCATGATTTGCATTTCAAAAAACAATAAACGCTGGGCTGGGTTTCATTTTTCATCCATTGTTTGTGAAAAAATGTGACCACCATCCAGTCCTCAGCCAGCTGGTATAGCAGCAGCAGCAATCACATAACCTGTCCAAGGCGAGAATGACGATTGAAAGTGAATGAACCCAGAATTGTTGGTGGTAATTTCACATCCTGTTCCGATTTTGTAAGACTTTGGTACGTATTCTTTTCATCTGGATAAATGGAACCCTGCCCAAATACAAAGTGGGAGATGGAAACTTTTTTCCCCAAAGCGCTGGCGAGACAAAGTCTTGCGGCGTTTAAGCCATATCCCCCAAAGATAGAATTGTGTGCCACAAAGCGGACCATGCCAGCAGGCAATCACAGATCAAATGCTGATATGAACACAATGAAAAATGAGTTCATGCGTTCAGTAGTCATTGCAGCTGGAGGTTCACTGCGATAAACCATGTGTTTCGAAAACGGTGATGTGAAAGCCTTACATGCATGGGAACCCTACAGATATACTCTAAGATAAATGTCCGGCTTCTTTAGTCAACATCCTGAGCATCAGCATCCTCATTTTCGGGGCTGACTTCATCAGTGAATTCCTTGATATGTTTGTGCAACTCCTCCTTCAAATTGGGATCAGAGCTCTGGCCGGTAAGAACTGGCTTGTAGTACAGAAAATTCGACACAGCGTCCGCTTCATCAATGCCGTTGAGCATTTGACCAGCCTCAGATAAGTCAAGGGCTGCAGATTGTTAATTCAACAATTCAGGGTCATGGCTTACCACTTACCACTTGTGGCCAATTACTTTTTCCAAGTGGGATTGCATTTATTGAATGGTTGATGGGACAAAGGAAAAGCATCTCCTGGGGTGCAATAAAGTAGCTATGGTTGCGACACTCTTGACTGCAAACATCAAATCCTCAAAGCGCACTGTGCAGTAGCAAACCTCCAGGACATGGCGTGGATCGGGACACCAACAATGGCAAAGGAGACTGGGTTGGCGGGTCTGTCCATGTGGGTAACCTACTTATGAAATGAATCATACATAATTCCCAACATTTTCAACCAGAACATCAAATAATTAGAACATCAGAAAGGTTTTAACGTTTTCAGCTACCAAGCCTGTTGGAGCTTGCCATTCTTAAGGATTAGGAATCCTACAGCTGAGCGCGACCAGTACACCATGATCTTGAACTGCCCTTCAAACTGTTGGTTCAAGTGCTCAACTACGGATTTAATCTCACCCGTGGTCTCATCGTGCTTGATGCGCTTTCGGCGGCATCCATCCTGGAGACATTTGGTAATAGACTTGTAGATCAGTTTATACTTAAGGATATGTAGCCATTATGTTGCTCATATGTGATATGTCATAACAAACATGCATGCTTAAGATGAAAGGCGAGTGGACTGTCCTCTCCAGCTTTGGGGGCTGGCTCCGCACATGTGGACGACTGCTTTGCTTTTTTTGCCTTTGCTCCTTTGCCTGCATGTCCTGCCTGGTCCATTGCCTCCTCTTCACCCTGTGCCTTCTTTACATTCTTCGTTTTCTTCGTTTTGCATCCCTTGACCTTGCATCCCTTCTTGACTTTCTTCGTTTTGCCTGCCTCCTTGACATTGCGTTCATCCTTGCCCTTACCTTTGCTCATAGTGGTGGTTGGGATTGCCTTTGTCTCACTGCTTGGATTCCTTGTCTTTGCTGCTGATGGTGTGGCCTTATCCTTCTGGGTGATCTTACCATCTTCTCGTTCATTGCTTACCATGCGCACCTGTGACTTCATCCTGCGAAGTCTCTTACCTATGGTTTTTGGACTGTTGCTGGATTGCTCCTTGTTTGCTTCAGGTTCTGCCTTTGCTGCCTTTCCTGCCTTAGCTGCCTTTCGTGCCTTTGCTGGCTTTTCTGCCTTGGCTGCCTTTCCTGCCTTTCCCTTAGGCTTCCTTCCTTTCCTCGTAGAGTTTTCCTCTTTCTTTTCATCCTTCAACCGCTGTTGCTTCAAGCGATCCACAACCTGAGCGCACAGAGCAGCTGAGAACCCACATATTGAACTTTTCCCCTGAAAAAAAAACATCTAAAACAGAAACACTTGAAGTTCGGTTGAAGTGGTAGAGACATCAACCTATATCCGGTTCAAGGAACAGGAATGCGCTCACCTTCATCACCATTGCCAGTAGTAGGATCATTGATTTTGGGGCCTTCATCTTCACCCTGAGTGGCTTCGGGGGGGCACCAAGCTTCATCCACCCCAGCATCGGGCACAGCATCGGGCACAGCATCGGGAGCGTAGTACTGAGTTTCATCCGGCACCATCGGGAGAGTCTCATCAAAGTCCATTGCTGGCACAGAAGTGCTGGCTTCCAACCTGGGAAAGAGATGGGTTCACAGGTTTGATATTAATTTTTAAAGGTTCCAGGGGAATACATCTATCCTAAGGTTCCAGGGGAATACATCTATACCTCTTAAGATTGCTGTTGATCAACTTGGATGGCCATATGAACAATGTTTTCATAAAGACGGAAACTGGTCGATGGTACTGACAAGAAACTTCAAATCTGACTGCAACTTTTCCATCCGGGATCTAATTTCAGCAACCCTTGATGAAGTCGAATCCACTGGTGACGCTATCTCTGGAACTGGATCACTCGGAGAAACCATGGGAGTACCAGTACTGTTGGAATTCTGACCTTTGAGTTCAGCAATCCTGGCCTTGGCCTCCATGATTTTTTTGTGCAATCCAAACACACATTCCTGCTCATCAACAGGAAGGGCTTCTGGAACCCACATATCATTCTCAAGCAAACCCGAGTTCCCACCCACAGATTCAGCCAGAGCTGGCACAACCGGGGTTGTAGTAGGTGAAGGAATTGGCACCTGACGAACCCGATCACGTAGATCACACTCGTTAGATTCGCCCTTCTCATCCTCGCTGTCGTCAGGAGCTGACTTGTCCGCGGGGAGGTCTAAATAGAGTTCCTGAGAGGCGGAGTTGCGCGGCCAAGGCCGGTGGGAATTGATAGCAAACACTCCAACATATTGCAACAACTGTATACATGCATGTAATGTAGGGTTCCAAATATATTGAAATGATTCCCATAAAATCTATATATCAACCTCAGCCTGCAGTCAAATTCATTGGTTTCACCGGTTTCACCTTTACCATTTGAAAGTGTGCTGGCCCGATGAACCATGGACAATGTGCCGGGTGCAAAAAAGGCTCCAACTCGCCAAAGTGGGTCAAGAGCTCTCTGAAGTCTGCGTCCTCCAGGGTAGCTATGGGGCATATATGATCCAAGGGATCTGAACCATATTGTGGATGGAAGAAATCTTGCACCGGATGATAGATGGTTTATCCAATATAGTCCCATTGCAGTTATAGTTATAAGTGTTACCACTATACATGGGCACGAAGCGGTGCAGGTGCAGGATTTCTTCCATCCATCATATGCAAATTGGAATGGAAGAAAATACATACTGTGGTTCCGGGAAAGACCTGGAAATTATGATCTGATTTGAACTGCATGATTGATAATCACATAAAAAATGGAAACATGCATGAAGAAAGGAACCCTTGTCCCGTGGCATGTGAGGACGAATGTACTTGGCTCGCACATATGACACCAGCTTCTTAATGCTAATCACCGACAAATGAACCGGCACTTCCAACTCTTCAGGGATTGGAGGAAGGTTGTGGGCATCAAATCCCTGCTTGGTAGACAGCAGCTGGAGAATCCAAACTTGGTCTTGAATCGTCCCCATATCAGGTGTCTTGATCAGGTGGTGGTATCGCATATTCTCCATGATTGGGATCAAGACTTCTCTGTTCCACAACGCATGACGTACATCTTTGGATGCAAGGGGCTGGGTATTGTTGGTTACAACAATGGCACCAATGCCGCCCTCTTTCACCCTCTCTTGGATGGAAGGCTCCATCCACCAATGCTTAGCAACACCATAAAGGTTCGCCATAGCAAGGCAGCAAAACGTTTTTTTTTTGAGCCGGTTTGCTCTGAAGGGAACGCCCAAAAGCTTCCAGCAAAAGCCAACTGTACTTGCAAGATAGAATTCATGGCAAGAAATCAAATCAAACTTATTTCGTTTTTCGATGCCCCCCCCCACGTAATCAGAGCGGGCCTCAACGTGCTCAGCAGCGATGCAATCATCCCAATCAGGACGCATGGTTTCTATGCACATATTTCAAGAGACCCTGTTGGGAATCTATAATATATAGTCTATGCCACATAATATATTCTATGGCACCCATCATATATTTCTTCCATTCTCGATTTGGGGTGCATGGTCACATGCATCTTCCCCTTTTTTATTTCACATCATTCACATCCATACTGTGAGCCTTGGATGCAAGGATCGGGCGCACCTCCAATAGCAATATCGTGAATTGACCAAATTATCTGGTCATTACGGGTAAAATTGTTCATTGATCATTAAAAGGTGTATTCGACCAGATTTTCCCATAATGAACAAAAAATTTTGTTCAAACGGCTTTCCAGGTATATATACATATTTATGATATATATATATATACACATAATCTATATATATAGTATACATATAAATGGATACACATGGATTGTAACTAGGATTGTTAACCAGCTATAGTAAGTGCATGTCAGTGCCGTGATGATCCGCGTAGTTTTTTTTTCCGGACGAGGGGCGCAGCTGTTGACGAAACTCAGGTAGCGACCACTGAGATTTTTGGCAAAGTCTCCATGAATTTCATCCAGGACAGAATTTAGCCTCCAGTAAATTAATTCATTAACCAACGATTAACCCACCATTATTGACGTGACCATTAGAAATAAATCACGTTTACCCTCTGGTAAATTAACATGTTGACCCTGGCTTTTTTGTTCGGGGTTGGGAGATGAGTGAAACATAGTGAAACCACTGAAAAATGGGTGATTTTCAGGGTCGAACTCTTAATTTGTCAGAGGTTATGGTTTTTTTTAGCCACTCAAGAAATGACTACGGCTGTTGCGTAGAACATTTGTATCATATATCATACATAGATAGAACATGGTTGTAGAATGGTTGTGTAAATGGTTGTAAATGTGTATATCATGGTATATACCATATATCAATTCTACGGCTGTAAATGGTTGTAGAATGCCTATCATATATCATACATATACAAATAAGAGACCTGCGGGGTATACCGGGTATACCCAGTCAGCCGATAACAAAAAACTTAAAACATGCAAAGATCATCCGTGAAGAAATTGTATGAAATTGTACTCGTACGATTGATGTGTGTATGATCCAAACGACTTAGCATATTTCCACCTGGACAGCTTCCAACCATTGCAATGCCAGCTGTCGAAGAAGGTGTCCATATCACTGCCAGCCTTGTTCACAACAGCAACGGTTGATTGAGTGGTAAGTGGGTCATAAGTGGGTCATGTTGGTATGGGTCAAATGCCTGTACTCTGATTTTTCACCAGACGCTAGATCTTGGCAACTGGATGTTCATCGCCCGAAAGATAGTATCCAAGTCATTGACCCCTCCTGCGACATCTCTTGGGAAATCATGGTCAGTGGCCACTGGCCTGAAAGACCTCTTCAGGACTTGTGCGCCGGCGCTCAACTTCGAAGTCTCTCGCTTTTCAAATCGGTTGTTGGCTCGACATGGCATGACTGGATGATACTGGATGACTTTGTTTGGGGGGAAGCCACTGGGAAAATGACATGATGACATGATCTTGTGATATCTTGTGATATTTACACTTTTGGGCTACCCCTCTGAGCTGACCCGCACTTGTTGGCTTGTGTTGTGCATCCGTTCTGTTGTCCTTTCAGGCCAAACAACAAATATATATATATAATTATCTACACATGTATGATATTGATGATATTGGTTTATTCTGCCTCACAGTCACAAGAAGGAAAATCCCACCTGATATGGGTTAGGGGATTTTTTATATAACGTCGCACATGTGTTGTGAACTTGATGCTTTAGACAGTGGATGATGGTACACAGAACTAGACTCATATAATCTACTATTCTCGTTCAGAGTGTTAGTAATTACGACGTCGTTGAACTCCACACATGTTAGACTGGTTGTCCCTTATAATTTGCATGGGTCAAACTATGTTGAGCTGACCAGTGCGTTGGGGGGACTTCCAACTCGCAAAACAATACACCGGGTTCAATGATGAATTCTGGCTTGGCAGAAAATTATTATCTACTAATCTTCAGCGTGCGATAGTAAATCCCTTATTTTCAGATTGGTGGTTTCCCTTGAACTGCGTATTCTTCAATGGATTGTCCCATGTTTGATCATTTTCTAAAAACAAGATTCTCTATTTGATATATAAGATTTTTAGTTAAAATAAGATGAACTAAGAATTTCTAGTCCCATATCTATCCAGTTTTCTCTATTAGTATGTTCCTTTTCTTTGTTCCAAAAATCTCTAGCAACGCCTGGTGATGCCTCGTGCGAAGCCCACGGAGGTTATCTTCCGGGACAGACCTTGTTCATCCAGGCGAAGCAGGCCTGGACAGGGAAATCTAAAAATGGTGGTGTTTATACGTCTTTAAAGTTTTAAAAAATATATTGATATGTATATATATATATTGTATGTTTTTGTGTTTTTTGTTGGTTTTGTTTACAAATATATATATATATATATGCTTATTGTGTGAAATCGATGCTTTCGATATATTTCTTTGTTAAACTGTGAATGATGTTAATGATGTTTGGAAGATCCACTGAGTGTCGGCTTCGGTGGGATACCAGGGTTTTGAGAAACAGCCAAAAGGCTCGGCTAAAGTACAGGCTTAGTCCCGAACTTTTGAAGCAGTGAGATCTAACTTATCAAACGAGATCTGACTGATCTAACCCCATTTTTTCCCAAACTTTGGACGTTGACGTTTCCCAGGACAAGGGAAAAATGTTCCTGGTCCGCGGTGGTGCTCTTTTTGTGGTTCGGGGCACCCAGGGTATCCCCAGGGTATCCCACATTCTTGGGCGCGGTGGACCGATGTGGACCGTGGCCGCCATGATTCATGGAGATGCTGATGAGCCAATGGACGAAAAGGGTATATATATATATATGATAGTATATATTAGTTACTATGGAAAATCAGTGGGAAAGATATGGTTTTATGGAAACATATGTGGAAAATCACTACCTGGTTGGTGGTTTCAAACATGAATTTTATTTTCCATCATATATGGGATGTCATCCTTCCCATTGACGAACTCATATTTTTCAGAGGGGTTGAAACCCCCAACCAGGCATAATTAGTTACTATAGAAAGCCCAAGTTATGGCCAATGGACTTGATGTTTTGATGGGGTACATTGGAAAAAAAACATGGCACCAACTTGATGTCATTTGATGTCTTTGTGGCAACTTTGAGCTCATACTGCTGGTATGTGTGCAATTATATAAATTATATATATATATAAATTATATATATATTATAATTGTATATATATATATGTATGAGGGAGCAACTACAATGTGAGGCCCCCAGTCTTACACTTCCCATTAGCTGTAGATAATTAGATATATCTACTACCATAAACTTAAGCTATTTACAAACCTTGTCGGCATATTTGAAGTCGAAAGCTAGCAACAGTTGGGTTTATTTTGCTTTTTTTCCGCAGGTTGTGGATCTCAGAGTTTGATCGGTCAACTATATGTCCGAAAACAGGGTTTACCACCAGCAATTTTAGAAGGAACACTTATGATAATCCATTGAAATCTGGGGGTAGCCTACTGCAAACAAACCCATATGAAATTTCCATATAGGCTATACAAGACGACCTCAACTTCTCGCGTGAAGCATTTCAACCTTTGCCTTTGAGGAAAAAGATGGTCGTCGCATGCATGAAACAAGTCCAAGACTCAGAGCCCGATCATTTGCAGAGGATGATCATTCCAATCATCCAATTGTCAAGGTCAACCCTTGGCATGGCCAATTAATTACTAGGAAGTGCAGAGTAGTTCCACTTATACTGTAAGTGGATATAGAACCATAGTTGTTATATCCCCACCTCTGGGGGTTTATATAGATTCCCTTGGTCCCATGGTTGGACTCATGAAAGTAACCTCAACTGCACCACAAAGTATGGAGAGCTGTGGCCCCAGGGCCCCGAATTCATAGAAAACATGGACCTTTTTGGCTAGTTCTGAAACAGGATCAACATTATGAGACATGTCACGTGTGATCATATATTAGAATATATTAGATAGAATTGAGAATTTTGAAGTTTGTCAATCAATACGTTTGGGACACTCTAATTGAATGCAAAAACTTGACGTTGGGAAAACAATTCTCCAAACCATGAGATTTTGGGAACTGGGTGAACTAAGCATGGGTAGCATGATATCAATTCTTTGGGATGATATTGATGATATCAATACCCATGACGGATCCATGGTGCTGCTACATATGTTAACATGGATCCCATCAATATATCCCAGTCATGTTAGCATATGTAGCAGCACCATGGATCCTCTGGGATATGATTCACAAGAACTGAGTTTTGAATCCCGGTCTTCTCTGGGCATTGGACGCATTGGACGGAATTGATCCCACCGGAACACCACGAGCAGTTTCAAAGATACCTGGTTGGTTAATGGTATGTTTATCAATTGGTATATTAAAATTATACCATTGGTATATTAAACATAGAAAATTATATGTTCTATCAGGATGGAAAACCGCCGTTTATCCTGTAGTGATTGTCAGAAGCAAGGTTGGACTAATGAGCGGTGCCTTGCAACAAGAATTTGGAATGGAAAACCCTCTGGAGTTCTTTACATAGTACCCTAGATGAAATTATGATGAAATTTTCAGATAGATATGGAAAACCAAATGTTTTGTAGGACATTGATTGACAAATGCTGGATTTTCCACATCGATGTTAGTGAATCTTAGAGGTTCATAGATGGTGACCACTGGAGACCTCCAGGTGTCGCATGTGAATACCATGGTGAATTGTGTTCATGTTGTCTTCATACCCTCTGGTGAACTAACATAGCAATGGAACATGGCCATTTATAGTGGATTTTCCCATTAAAAATGGTGATTTTCCATTGCTATGTTAGTTCACCAGAGGGTAGATGTCCAGTTATTCCCATTGGTTGGTTGATGAAAATAGAGGGCTTTGAAGGTTTACCCAAAGTTTACCCCTTTAAAAAAAACAGGCAGGTTGGACATTAAAACTGTTGTCTTGGTCATCCTTCACGGTTCTTTACGACGATTTCACCATCAATATCCTACTGGGTACAGTAGTGAAGGGAATCATTGACTCAACTATAGTTGCCACCAAAATCTTGCTGAGTATGGAGAAATCCTCAAAAAAATACCCTCTGGTAATTTAACATAGCTATTGAAAATTGCCATTTATATATAGTGGATTTTCCCATTAAAAATGGTGATTTTCCATAGCTATGTTAAATTACCAGAGGGTAATCACCAGAAAATACCTGATAGCGAAGTTGATGGAACTTTCGTACATTCGGCGACCGCCTTCAGATACCTGCATTGGTGATTTGGTGATTCTCGGTGCGGAACATCAGCGGCCCTGCACTGTCGGGGTCACCCAGGGGCGGCACGATCCTAGTGACCGGAACCACAGATTGACATGTGAAACACTCAGACCCATATCAATCATATCAGCAGTATATTCAAAAGCCTAAAAGTGTCTGTGGTCCTATATAGCTGGTTGCCCTCAAACTAACAGTTTTTGGAACATTTGGATTTTTTTTTCCATATATTGTGGGAATACTCATCCCAACTGACTTTCATATTTTTCAGAGGGGTAGGTATACCACCAACCAGCATTTAGTTCGTTGATTTACCTCTGAAGAATGGCGGTTTTCCAGTTCCCAACCTGCAAACGTTGAGGGTTTCCTCATGATTTCCCACTGGATTTCCTAGATTCTGTGGATCCAGCGGCAGGTGAGAGCTCAGACCTTTGTCTTCACCCTGGAGATCCCCAAGGCGGTCTTCGTTCAGGTGGGATGTGGTGGGATCCGATTTCTTGGGTCGGTTCCGGGAAAGAACGGCTGTTTAGCACTGATTCCACAATGGGAAATCGTGGGAAATCATGGGAAAATATAGCTAGTTGATGGGATATCATAGGAATACAAACGGAATATATTGATATACCCTCTGGCAACTAACAGTTGACTGGAACATCATCAAATCACCCACTTTTCAAAGGTCGACCATCATTGAACGAAACCGGCCATGGCGTGGCCAGGTACCTGAGGATGTCTCCCAAAGTCCCCTGGTGCTTTCCCATGGTTGGGTTCCATTTGATGGGTATAGCAATTTTTAGACAGACCCAGACTATCACATTTGATCATACTCTATGTGATTCTATATCCGATGATATATTATTATATATTCTTATATATTCTTATATAGTATATTGTAAAGAGAATCCAACATTTCCCTAGTTAAACCAACATGTTGCCTAGTTAAATCACTCTCTTCAGACATTTAGGATATCCCATCATATGGCCACTATATAATGGAACATCTGGTTAATTATGTGTATATATATATATACAATATACATCATAATCACATGGTAAATCTACATAATTATATAAACCATATGTCTATTTAGGATAACCACATCCCCATTGCTATCCCATCAACCACATGTTCCCGGGTTAACTCCCAAGAAATCCCATGAAGTTTTCCAGCACCAGGCCATCGACAAGCACCCGGATTCAAGGTGGCATGGCAGTCGGAGATGGTGTTCGATGGAGATTTTGTGGGATTTAGTATGGTTTAGTGGGATTTACCCTCTGGTAAACTAACATAGCTATGGAAAATCACAATTTTTAATGGGAAAATCCACTATAAATGGGCATTTTCAATAGCTATGTTAAATTACCAGAGGGTAGTATGGGATTTTGATGGGATATATCACAAACTTATACAAGCCTAGTAACATGATATGGGGAAACTTGGATTGGTAGTTTTGGCATTTACCGTTAACCAGGGTAATTTACCAATCAATGAGGATATTAGCCTGCCATAAAAGGTGATTCTTTAACAAAAATTGATGATTTATATGATTTAACCAATGCATAATGGTATTTGGGGTGGCAGAAAATGGTGTATACGGCACAAACTGCAATTTTAACAGGATGATGATTAACCATCGGATTTCGGGTTGCCCTATTTTTAGACACACCTGCATGAAATGTACTGGCTTAAACGGCAAATCATCAAAACATACATGTGACATCATATGACTGAG